ATAAGGACCTGCTAGGATTCATATAAATGAGGACAACTCCTGGGAGGATGACAGATCGCCTTCAAATCTGGGAATCGTGACAGTGCCTTCATTCCCTTTGCATCAGCCTCAGGGGAGAGCCGTGAGCTGGAACACTCAGTGCACCCAGCTGACAGTTTGTTTCAGTGCCAGAACAAGCAGCCACGTCGTCCCAGGAGCCCTCCTCTACGCCCAAAATGTGCACAGAGCTGCAAGCCACTGACTTGACCTCAGAGCACCCTCAACCTGAGGACCCAGGCCAAGGCCTACCAGTAATATAATTTGAATCTGGTGCTGCAGGGATGCATTGTTGTATGATTAATGAAAGCCATTAAACCAGAAAGCCTCTTCATCCAGAAGTGAAAACTCAGGAGAAATACCAGCATCAGCGACACTGAAGGGCTGAACCAAGAAGAGAAATAAATGTTTGTGATTTAAAAGAGCTGATTTAAGCCTCATTTTGAGATTGCTCCATTCTGAATTGTGAATCCCCATTGATCCACTTTCAGCAGTTCCCAGAGCTGCCTCATGCCTGTGCAGCTCCCCAGGCAGGAGGAGCAGAGATTGCTCCGTCATGAACAGGGCATGACAGGGGTATCAATGGCAACAGCAGTGTGATCTGCCTCCTGATCCTAGCTAAAAGCAAAGCCCAGACATTTTGCTGGTGCTGCCTCAGGTTTGTGCAGATACAAGTGGTCACACAGACAGATCATATGAAGAGGAAGGTAGCATGCAGCCACCAGTAACTACAGCTTAGCTGCACATTTATATACCTGCCTCACTGCCGATGTAATCCTACGCATCCAAGGATCTGCGCTGAGCTAAGCAAAATTAGCTCCTACCTGTAATCCAAGTGCACTTGGTTGGCTCACTTGCTGCAAATGGTGGTGATTATTTGATGCATATAACTGAGTAGTGGTCAAAGATGGCTGTGTTGAGACTATGCTTGAATATAGACAAGCACTACTACATATGCCTTTGGGCAGAGCAGAAAGTGAAAAAATGTGCTGACTGAGCAATTAGGCTTCCAGTCACTTGTGAATTTAGACACTTTTTTCCAGTGACAAGAATGAGTCCTCACACTACGCAAAAGGCCAACTGCAAAAATCCAGAGTCAGGGAGAATACAGAAGAGCCTGGGGAGCAAAGCAGCTCAAAGCACAGGGAGCCAGACAGCAGAAGCCTGTGAGGAGGTTGCGCCCTTGAGCAGCGAGTACTGCAGCTGCCTCAGTCCCACAGTGCCACAGGGATGGCTAAGGCAGAGCCAGTCCCCACAGCAACACCTGCAGAGCTGTGGGATGCCAGGCTGGCTTATGCCCCGACCTCACCAACAGCAGCCTCTGGCAGGCAGACAGAGATCCCTTTGCCTGAGCCCCTGGTGAAAGGCAGATCAGCTGAAAAGCAGCTCCTGCTTTGGAGCAATGCCCCAGCCAGTTTTTGGATTCCCAGGAGATGAGGGGAGGCTGAGTTAAACCTCACTGTGTTTTAGGGCAGATAAAAGGACCAGCAAACAGGCAGAAGCATCCTCAGCAGAGGAGCAGAAAGGGACCCTCACTTTCTGACAAATCACAAAAGAAGTGCTTTTCCTTCCCCTTACTCCTGCTTTCTTGCTCTTTTTTATTTTATTTTATTTTATTTTTTAACCTAATACAGCTTCTCTGCTGCCGTTTTTTGTTTTCATTTCCCTTTCCATGCTCCAGTGAAATCTTCTGCTTTGCAGGCATGATGCCAGTTCAGACTGATGTTTACAAGCTCTAGTAGGGTTCACTTTCTCACTTGCACAGTTCACACCTTCTCCCAGAGAGAAAGAAGTCGTGGAAGTGAGAGGCTGCTATTAGCAGGATTGAATGTCAGACACCTGAGAAAGCTGATACCAAAGAACCGATGGCAGCAGTTCCTAGTGAACAGGTGGCTGCATCTTAAAACCTCTTCGCTGGATGCTAACTGGCCCCAGGCTGGCTGGCTTGGTAGAAAGGCCAGGGGCCAAATGGGTCACAATGACTGAAGTCTCCATTGTCCTCAGGGGCTCTTCTACAGCTGGCTGAAGTGTGCTGCAGTGCCTGAGCACTCACCTGAGCCTGCTTCTGCTTCTCCATTGTCTTTTTATCATGACTGAGAATCTCATATCTTTCAGTAGAATTCATTTGACATTGAATTCAAGGAAAAAAAAATACAGGAAAATTGTTAGGCTCTGATAAATAAACATTTTCAGGAACAATTTCATCTTACTGACTGTGGAAATGTGTGACAGATCTGAACTGAGGCAAATCAAGCGGACCACTATCCATATTTCATTCCGATATTGTGAGAGAAAGCAGCAGCAGCCAGAGAAATGGAAAGATCGACAGTTAATTGGAAATGTTACATCTGCTGTTTATGCAAAAGGCATAAATATTTATATCCTGAAGGCTGACTTTTGGGTTCGCTCCTCAGCAGGAAGAGATTTACATTTTGAATAAAGACTTTTTTCTTTCTCCTTCTCAGTAAACGTGAGCAGTTTATTATTCCTTTAAGCAGGAATCCTCAGACAAGTCCTCCACTACCATTAGTTACTGCAGATTCCCCAGGCTTCACCTCAAACTACAGGTGTGTGCAGGCTGCAACAGCAGTCTCCCTGTTTACAGACAGAAAGAGAAGAGGGGGACTAAGACAAAGGGCAGGGACTGTGATCCCAAAATGAGAAGGTAGAAAATACAGTGACAATTCAAAGGCACCTGAGATGCTGAACTGTTTCTCTAAATTGGCTTTCAGTAAGAAAATAATAGAAGTCTGTACCTTGAAAACATAAAAAATGGCAACATTAGCTGTTGATACAGAGCAGGGAAAGAAATACTGGGAAAATTTAACTACATCAATATATTGGATGAAACAGCCCTCACAACAGCGTGATGAGTGAACCAGCTAACAAAACTATTCACATATGCATTGATCCTAGAAAAGACAAGGAAATGTGCTGAAATATAGCAATATTACAAACAAGAACAAAAAAGTATGTTATTCTACAAATCACCTTGTACATTATCTGGCCTTCACACCTCCTGCCTCTCTTCGACAATCCTTTCCCCTGTACATACTGAGCCAGGCTTCATCTCCCCCCATCCCAAGCCCCTGCTTTGTCCCCAGCTTGCTCACCCTCATCTCCCATGTCTGCCTCCCTGCTCCCATCGGTCCTCTCATCTCTGCCTGCTTCCATCCTGCCTGCCTCCATCTGCTGCAGGCTCTGCATGCTTTCCTGTTCACCTCCTCATTGCTTTTCATTTCACCACACACGCTAGCTTCAGCATCCGCCCTCTAACCTAGCATTTCCCAATTTGAGGCTCTCCTGCCTCACCCTCCCCTATTACCCCGTCTATTCCTGTTGGCTTCTGCCTCCATCCGTTCTCTTCTCTTCCCCCACTCCCAATCTCAATCCCTGTGTTTGACTTATTATATTCTCGTGAGACCCCCAGATCTTTTCATCTCCGTGGATGCTGAAGTTATTTGCCTTCTTTCCTTCTGCAGCATCATTTCTTTCTCTGCTTCAGTCATTCTCTCTGATTATCCATAGCATTAAAGCTAAGAGTTACAAGTAAGCACTAACAAAGCATCCAGATGAGATGTGGGTTGCAGTGGATTCCTCTTCTTAGTGCAATATCAAACACACTGGGCCATGCTGAAGACCAGTAAGAAGGGCTCAAGTGCTGGACATCTCCAGCAGTGCACCTTTCCCCCTGTTTCCAGAAAAAAAACAATGCCTGTTGCAGGGACCAAGGAGCCTCTGAAGATATAATCTCATCATTTGGAACCACTTGCATGAGGAACTCTTAGTTTTACAGAAGGAGAGCTGCTGCAAATGAGAGAGAGACCTGCCTTGAGTACTGATTTGCACCCTCCCGGTGCAGATTTGTCAGCGCAGAGCGTTCCCACAGGGCCAGCAGACCAGAAACCAAAGGTGTGGTGGACTTTACTCTCACCCCCTTTCTGGCCATCAATGGATTACTTCCAACTCCTTGACTCTCAAAAATGTAAGGAAGGAAAGCCCCAGGACCATGAGAGGGTATTGGCATTCTCCCCTGGTTTGCTCCTTGTTTTTAAGCTCCTGAAATTTCAAAGCAGTATTTTATTTTAAGGGAATTTTTGTGTGTGTTTTAAAATGGTTTTTCCTCTGGGAGTATTTTTGCTGGCTCCCATCATTTCCGTTGCCAAGGCAACTACAGCTGGCTCAGATGTGCTGTTGCCATGGCAACTGTCTGGTCCTCCTTTCAAGCACCGCAGTGAAACACGAATGATATTTGCATCCCCAATGCTGCATGGAACAAATCTCTTTCACCACTCGTTGGGAAGACATAAGACATTTGTAGAAAATCAGCACAAAATTCGATCTAAATCCTCTCGGAAAGGGTTTCAGACAGTTGGAGATGTGAGGGAATTGCAAGGAAAATGGGCCTAGGGGTGAGCTGGCTCTTCAATGGCATTTTCACAGTCTGCTCTGGGCAAAGCAGCAGTACTTGGAAATACTTCTTTGAAATCACCCATGTGGGAAGAACACAAAATTTGCCAGGAATAGCTAATTCATGTAAAAAAAAAGAACACACCTTATTTTTTCTGAGAATTTAAGAGAAATGATTGCCTGTTAAGAAACGCGTGGTAAAATACATCGTGGAATTTTATCCTAGAGAACAGATCAAAGCTTGCATTACTCACGGTAGTACCCTGGGACATGGCCAACATAAGATGCCAGCACCCCTTTCGGCACTGCTGCAGACCCACAGAACGTCCATCCTTCCCTTCTCTGCTCCACCTCCCATGCCATCTATCCTACACTGCCATGTCCGCATTTGAGCACTGGCTGCTGCAGGGGTCCTGTGCCAGTCCCACCCCCAGGCCTGGCACACAAAGTGGCACGGCGCCAAGCTTCCAGGAGCCAGGGCTCTGTGCCACACCACATCTGCCAGAGGTGGATTTTTTCAGCAGCACTGGGCAAAAAAAGTGACAATTGCATGATTTATCCTGTGAGATGCTTAGTGCCTTTATTCTTGAATTTAACTTCCTCGTGCCAGGCTGTGCTTTGTTCTTTGTCTTCTTGTTTGTTTCTCTTTTTGCTGTCTCATTGCTACTGCTGGGACAAATCAGAAGGAAAGGCACAGGCAGGGCCGTGTGCGAGGCTCAGCTATTCCATCCTCTACAGCTGTCTTCTGCAGCTCCCCCAAGGACTACAATGGTCCTTACGTGCAACAAAAGACAACAACGGTGCAATGGAGTGCCACGGGGAAAGCATGGAGATGTCCCTGGGGAAACAAGGAGTCGCCTCCTGTATTTTCCATCACCAGCTGTCCTTGCACTGCCCTGGTTTTTATCATTTTCTTGGGCTGAGCATGATCTGTGAAGGAGAGCAGTGAGTCTGAGTATTCTGACCACAGCCCTGCACCACTCCTGCTGCTGCCCACGAGAAGTCACTGCCCAGCACGCTGAATCCCAAGCATGGTGCTGCACCCAGCTACCTCTGCTATCTTTCACATCTGCAAAGACCAATTAAAAGCAGCTCTGTTAGTAGAGACAAGTGGGAAGGAGCAGGAATAATTAAGAGCAAAGATCACAGCAGGCTCCAGGCAGCTGCTGCTAATTATTTATCTGCAGTGTATGGGCCTAGCTGCTCCTAAGTCACAGGGCACATTCAGGGCACCTTATTTCTGAACCATTTTGCCCTGCAGCACTCCATCCACTTCCATTGCTGTCTCTAGGTCTTATTTAGCACACAGAACACTGTATAAAATTGTGAATAAATCTGTTCTCCCACCTAATATCAGGGGAAAATCACTATCCTTGCTACGGAGAAGAGGCACAGAACGAGATGGAGCTTGCCTGAATGCATGGCCTGGGATTAGCAAGCCTTCTGCTTGGCCATCACGTCGCAGCCCCAGGGTCTGGGCACTTCATTTTTTGCCCAGAGCTTTCAAGCAGTAAGACCCTCTGCCAGTGCAGTAAAAGCCTCAATATGTAACTAACAGATCAAGAAAAATTTCTGGATAAGGTGCTAAGTTCTGTCTGGCTTTCCTTCAGATATTTTGGGGGTATTCAACAAAACTAACGATTCACTTCACAATGATAGAATCAATATGCTTTGCCGTCATTTATGTTGGAAGGAGGACCGTAATACAGCTCTCCTTCAATTACAGAAGATGGAATCAATACATTTCACCTCCATTTATGTGGTTGAGGTCTAAGTCAGTGTGGCCCACCTTTTATTTATGGGGGTAGCCTCAATGCAGCTTGCTTTCATTTAATGGGGAGGAACTAATATGTCTTGCTTTCACTTACAGGGGGTGGGAAGGAGAGAATCAATACAGCTGCCATCCTTTATTGGGAGGAATCTACAGATCTCACCTTGATTTACTGGGGAGATCGATATCTCAACCTTCATTAAAGTGGGTGCTATGTTGGACTGGATAAGGCTCACCTGCTGCGAGAGCAAATTGTGTGAGGATGCCTGTCCATATATGTGGAGATCATTCAGCATGGCCTTCATGTACGCAAGGCTGGATGCTGTACAGTTCACCAGCTACTGCAGGCTGTACGCAGTTAGCTCAGCACTAGGCCTGGAAAGACAGGGGCAAGTTCCATATGTACAGAGTGGGGACACTGCCTGGCAGACCTTCCTGACTCAAAACTCTATCTGTGATTTCCCATTTATGAGAGTGGCAGCTTCAACACAATCTGATTTTATTAAAGCATGTGGGAGCATGGGTTCAGTGTAATACATCTTCCTTTACAGAAGATGGTCTCAAGATAGTTCTTCATTTATGCAGTGGTAGCATCAGTGATGTTCTCCTTCATTTTAAAAGCTGGATTCGCTGTTCCTCGTCTTCTATTATAGGGAGATAATATGAACTGTAAATTAATTGTAGGAGTAGAGAAATGGGTGTGATGTATTCCAGGTCCACATTACGGCAGTCTAAATCAATGTCTGGGAAGGAAGGGCTTCTCCACAACTCCTAGAGCACAGTGAAAAAGGGGTATTGAGTATATGGGTAGGAAGAAAGGAGTTGGCAAGAGCAACTTCTACACAAAGACTGCTGCTGGCATGATTTTTCTTTGCAGCATCACAATCTCTGCAGGAATAGCTGATCTCACTGCATTTTAGAGCTGCTAATTCAGGCCAGAAGTTTGCTGTCTTTCTCTCCAAAAGCCAGTGATCACCATCTTTCCTACTATCTTCCCTCAAAAGATCTCAAAGCCCAGCTGAAAAGAGACCTGTTCTCTCATCACCGACTGAACATCCACCTCCTCCCCACAACTGTTTGGAGTGCTGTGCAGACCACAGAAAGAAGCCTTTCGTATTTAGGCTACTGAATTGATTGGAGCTCAGATTATCAGTGACCAGAAGTAAATGCCAGTTGATGCAGCCAGGGGAGCTGCATGATACAAGTTATGGGGCATCGGTACATTTCCCGAAGGAGATATGTCAGAACAACTTAAGAAGAAAGATCAGCCTAACTGCCCACCTTGTTGGGTTTCTCAGCAGAGAGCCCATGGACTGAAAGGACCCCAGAGATTGAACTGCCCTGTCACTTCTCATTACATCCAGTAGCTGTACAGCACACAAGCACCTGCAGCTTCCATTTCCAGGTGCAAAGATAAAAATCAAATGGAGTGCACTCTAATAACACCATAGAAATACAATATATTGAAAACATGACAATCCCTGCTGCCTTCTCCTTTTGCTGGGTGGCCGGGGAGGTGCTGGGTAAGGGTGAGGTAAGGAACCAAAAGCAGACAGTTTTGACTTAGACCTGCCGCTTCTTTTGGCTGATGAAAGACTGCAGCAGATTTCTAGGAGGCAGAAGATAGAATGTGCATTTTCCATCCCTGAAGTTTCAGGCACATTTATTTTCATCACTGCATCACATCTGCACCACTGCTTCTACACAAGCTGGCTGCTCACGTACTGTACTTAAAACTGTGCCTGTCTCTGTGTCAAGTAGGGCTTTTCATAGTCTGTCCTTATGTATCACACTGGGTCAGCTAGATAGATAGGCTGAATATCAGAATGCCTATTTGCACGCAAAGAGACTTCTATGACAAATAGGATAATTCCACACAGAGTTTCATTCTGTTCAAAGTCCTCTCATGTCTCTTACATTCTTGCCCTCAAATACCCTGCTTCTTCCTTCTCTCTGCTTTTGTTAATTCAAATTTAAACATCAATGTTTCTGATTGTGCCTTTCTTTATACCTCACTTTCCTGGCTTTGCCCCCTACCCAGAGTCCTCCTTTAAGGAGTCACCCTTCCTTAGACCTCCAGGTAGGCTCCTGTCTATTGTCCAAAATTCTGAGCCTCCAGGCTCAATCACCTCCATAAACACTTGTATTATATCTCTTGCTAGTCCAACCAAGCAATAAATTAGAGAAAGAGTCATTCAAGTAGCTTTTTGCCTTAAACCTTTTTGAGAAATCTTCAGCAACTATGGATGACTGTGTGAGTTCTGCTGCTACTGAATTGTTGAGGCACACAATGCAACCAGAATTGCCCGTCATACACAGATGAACTCATAGACTGTGATTTGGAGAAGGACCAAACACACAGAGGGGATCCAACAAGCTACCTCGGAAATTATTGCAAATTCCATCCAGAAGTGGATATAAAGCATGGGAAGGAATAAGAATATCCTCCTTAGGGCAGAAGTGTGCCTTAATTACAGAATGCAAGAGACCACACGGTATGTTGATGGACTTCTTAGAATAACCAGCATTAATATCCAGCTCTTACATGCTGCTTTTTGTTAGATTTCAAAGTGCCTCACCAGTGGCACAAAAATGATGATGCTTGGCCAAAGCCAGCCAGTGGCAAAGCTACAAATGCAAACCAGCTGTCCCAGTGTCCCAGGAGAGCATGCAAGTTTCTAGCCATACTTCCTCCCATAAAAGGAGTAAGAAATGAGTTCTGCTCCTTGCACCAACTCTGTGGTGTAGATGAGCACAAGAGCAGATACGCATTCTTGCAGAGGTCCCCCTCATTAGAAAAAAATTGTTTATTTTGTAGTTTTGGCAACTCTTCTCCCAGGCATGTATGGTAAAGGCTACATGCCAGAGCTGCTCAGGGTGAGTTCTGTGATCTGTGATCCTGCAGCAGCCTGCACCGGCAGCCACTGCACAGCTAGAGAAGTCTAACCTGCACAGGGAACAAAGCCAGCTGCTGCCTGACTTAGAGAAGCACCAACTCCTTCTCTTCTTTGTGAGCAGATGAGCAAATATGGTGCAGTGATTGAAAGGTGTTATTTTGTGATCTGCAATGTATTTTAACACCTTTTCAGCATGAGATGACCATGCAGGCTTTTTGTGCTCTTTCCATATCTATTTGATTGTGCTTTCAGAAGCTGTAAACAAGGACACAATAACAGTCTTCTGTCTGCACAGAGCCTTGCTCTGCATTATTCATACATTTCCTTCCTGTTTCACACACTTATGTCAGTCCTCATTCAGGCAAAATTCATGTTAAATGATTCACGCTCTCTTTCTCTATATGTGTCTTTCTCTTTTTCCCTGTCTTTGAAATGGGAATGAGAGGGAAAAAAAAATGCAAAGAAAGAACCCGTGATTAGACTCCTCTCTCTCTTCTTCCTTTTTCCCTCCTCTGTCAGACCCTGATTCTCAACAAGACCTGTACCTTGTCTCTTGATTTCAGCATGTCTAATGCAGAAGAAAATGAAGAAGAGCCATCACTGTTAACAAGTCCCATCAGTACTGTCCCATTATGCACTGATTTATCATAATTTCTTGAGATTATAAAAAGAAACCCTTATCTGTGCATCCTTTTTGCCCCTAGCAGAGATCAGTACTATTTTCTTTTTCCCTTCCCTTCTCTCCCCTTCCCATGGGACTTCTTCCCTGAGAAGCTTTCCCACATATCCTAGGAGCATCCTTGGAGTATTAGTGGCAATTGCTCCAGGGCTTTGCATTTCCTGGGTGCTGTGCTGTTCTGTTTTGCCACTTTCATTACTTGATATTCATACAGGATTAACAGAAGGGCTAGCAAGAAGGCATGGCTTGCAGCATTTGTTATACAAGAATGAATCCCAGCTTTGTGGTTTATCTGCAGATTAACACACAGTCGCCTGACTGCGACTCTCCAACATTGCATCAGAAGACTAAGGTGCTGCTGACAGGCTGAAGGAAGAGAACAAGGAGAAAGGCAGGCCTGACACAAGTCTCTCTGATTGCTGGGACCTGTCTTCACTGGTACTTTGGCTGGCAAAACAGAGAAGCTGTCAAAGCCCAAGATGATTTTAGATTACCATGCCGGTGTCTAGGAATGCACTTCTCTATCTTAATGTGGCTAAGAGTTTGCAACCATTCCTTGCAGAGTAGAAAGCTCTACTGCCACCCATACACGATATCATGCTATACCCACTGAAAGCACTGCATCAAGAACTGTGCCCTAAGTGCACTAAGAAACTGAAACCACTGCAGAATGCAGATGACTGCCAGTTGAATAGACTTTCTCACTGGGAACCACCAGTGCT